GGGCATAATGGAAAACTTAATTCAGCTATTTCCGCCGAGGGCTAGCCTAGAAGTGGAAGCTTAAGCCCAAACCAAAGCTCAAAACCGGAGTGCAGGTGGTATTTCTGTGTACGCTTTGTGCATGTAATGTACAATGTACATCAGATCTAACCCTTCGGCCTGAATTTTATTAAAGACATGTCTCGCACAGTGTGATCTGGCATGGCCCGTAGCTCTAGTAGATTTAGCGGATAATGCTCGAAAAGCAGTGAAATTGGCAGAAACATATAAGCTCATAAAAAGGACACACTTCAGGCTCATTACAAACATCTTGAAAGTTTTTGTCTTCACAAGTATACGTTCAAGCCTTCTCGTCAGGTGAAATACAGGCAAGGGAAAAGGAACAGGAACAGTGGATTAAATACAGTAAGAAGGTGGTAAAACAGTGCAAAGAAGAAGATAGACACATGTAGGTAAAGTAAACAGCGAAAATTGCAATAATGACACAAAGTCAAAGGTGCAAGTGCGAGAAAACTCAATAAGCGTGACATGTAGTGCGACAACATGTTAACAAGAGACAACCACTGGACATACATGTATCTAACGAGGTTTTCAAGATGTTTGTAATGAGCCTGAAGTGTGTCCTTTTTATGAGTATTATCGCATTTTTGTCTCAGAGGAAGCTGTTAACCATAATAAAACATTATAATATAAAATTAATTATAATGCCATTATGATGAGGCCTTTATGGCCGAAACAGCTTGCTGTCTACAGCATTGGGTATCACGCTCCTCGGCTTTCGCCTTGTTGAGCACTCTCAGTAGGCTGCTCTAGTGCTGCTGCATCGTGCAATGCCCGCTACATTTTGTAGTTTGAGCACTCTGGCGCTAGAGCGACGAGCTACTTTAATGTCTGTGGTGCCTTCTTTGCACCATGGCTGGTAGCTCGGCCTATTTAGCTCGTAGCTGTACTGAGTGATGAGGCCTTTATGGCCGAAACAGCTTGCTGTCTACAGCATTGGGTATCACGCTCCTCGGCTTTCGCCTTGTTGAGCACTCTCAGAGTATACTAGTGCTGCTGCATCGCGCAATGCCCGCTACATTTTGTAGTTTGAGCACTCTGGCGCTAGAGCGACGAGCTACCTTAATGTCTGTGGTGCCTCCTTTGCACCATGGCTGGTAGCTCGGCCTATGTAGCTGTACTGATGAGGCCTTTATGGCCGAAACAGCTTGCTGTCTACAGCATTGGGTAATATAATGCCATATTATGGCAGGCACTTCATTGATTTTCTGCTCCATTTCTTTATCCACATACATGTACCACACCTGTTTGAAACTTGCCAGAAACAGACAAAATTCTGCCAATTGTTCCTGCCAGCATTATCCACAAAGGCTGGCTAGTCTGTAACATTTTGTATGAAACAGGCCGGGGGGGGGGGGGGGGATGGGGGGATGTTCTGCTCATAATAAAATAATCTCTGCGCAGGGTTCTATTCCCAAAACTCAGCCTCGGCATTTATCCTCGTGCCGTGATGATAATGAAAGCTCTCAATCTTCGTACAGAACTGTTTCGTCCATAAAGCATAATATTATTATTACTAGCATGAAAACGATTTCCTGGACTACAATACAATCATACATGTACTACCAATTCATTATGCTAAAGTGACTTCCTGGTACACATGTCCTATTCTAACATTCAATACAAGGACAAGTAATTAGTTACATGATTGTACAGTTTACATGTAGCACACTCATGTAAATAAATCATAGTTCATACTTCTTACATGTATAATGCGTGGGCCAGCCACCATTGCACCAGAACACAGTACTACCGGTATTAGAAAGTAGATGGTCAATAGTCATCTTTCTGCTGTAATTCATTGATAACGACTTTATTACCCCGGCGGTATCCACACTACAACAAAAACCACGTACAAGTCACTTTTCCTTGTAAGTTGTCATGGAGAACCGTGGGAAACGGCGCGAAAGTGAAAAAGTCGCTTGAACGTAATCAGCAACTTCCGAACCCCGATACAAGGCCACTTTTTACTTTCAAGTAGCTTTTCCGGGTTTCGGAAGTAGGTACAATCATGTAGTTGTTGAAGTATTAAATTTTGTTGAAGTATCTTGAGAAAATGCCGTAATCAGCAACTTCCGAACCCCGATACAAGGCCACTTTTTACTTTCAAGTAGCTTTTCCGGGTTTCGGAAGTAGGTACAATCATGTAGTTGTTGAAGTATTTGTTGAAGTATCTTAAGAAAGTGCCGAGGGTTGTGTTCTGTGAAGAGCTGGAAGGAAAGCTCATTGAGCTGTGGGCTGCAGAACAGAAAGCGAGCAATGGGACAATGAAAAAGCGGTCGGTGAACAGGCGCGTGCTCGGCGATGGGCACGGGGGGGCACGTTCACCCCCCACAATTTTTCAATCTGATCCAAGGCAATTGTAATGTATGCAAATATGCTCTAAAATTCAAGAAAGGTTGCAAACAAATATTAATTGCAGAAAATTGCCGGGGGGGGGGCTCCCCGAGCTGTATGGCGATAAATTTCAGAATGAGATCACAGTGCCGATTGTTCACAACAAGCTGGACAACCTACGTACCAATTAGGCCAAGGCCAGGGAGCAGTACAAGAAATATCGCCGCCACACCGCCACCGGCCGGCTCTGGTGCTCCAGAGCGAAGACTCCGGCGATGCCGACATAGTCATAGATCTGGAAGCTGCTTGCAGAGCTTGGGGTAATTTCAAGACCAGGCACTCAAAAGTCACGTTTCACGCTGGCTGTTCTTGCCAGTGTGGATGCAAGCGCACTTGCACGCACCTAACCGTCCTTGAAAGAGGACGCGCTACTACGTTTCACACCTGTACTCTGTAGTGTGGATAGGGCTTACATGTACTAGTAGTAGTACTTCTCAGCGCATGTAAATCAACGTACATACACTATGATACAGTGCTCGTTCTACCATGAAAACCCAGGGGAAGTAAGTAAGTTGTATTGTTCCAGATATGCGTGCCATACATGCATTGACTTTGTAGGTACAAGGACTCAGTAGTTATTTTGGCAAAGTGCTCAATGCACAAAGTGCAGAGCGTTTCACACGACAAAAGAGAGGTACATGTAGATCTACATCATGTATGGCACCGATAGGGCCAGGGTAGGTATGGCAAGTACGGAGAACGGGGTTTTCACGCCCATACTTGGGCCATAGGCATAACGCGTGAGAAACCATCCAGTAAGATCCAAAGCAAAAGACTCAAAGAGTAGAGCAAAATAGTAGATCTACTCGTGGGGTTATACAAGTTAGTTACATGACTCATTGACTGTATGTCCATTGTCCAACACTACAAGTCTACAATACAAGTAATTATCACTCCCTTACGCCCTTAGTATTGACTCACATAGATTTTTGCCATCCCCAAGCAGTCAAATATTCCTGCATAATATGCAGGAATAATATTCGAATATAAGCGGTCAATATAGCCCTAAGGAGTGAAATATTATTTCACTCCTCAGGGCTATATTGACCTCTCATATTCGACTCCTTTTTAGCGATTGAACACAGGCTTTGGCAAGTCGTGATAAATCTAATATTGACTTCGTACTTGGTCAGTATAGGAAATAAAAGACCTCGTAAAAGACCTCGGATTCGCCTCGGTCTTTTACTCGGCTTTTATTTCCTATATTGACCTCGTACTCAGTCAATATTAGATACAACAAATTAGTTCAAAAAGGATGAACTAATGTTACTTGAACTAACTTTGTTGAAGGATTATCTACACTACTCACTACTAGTACACCAGAGTCTAGAATAGTCTACTAGCTGCTAGTAATACCAGGTTTAGAACAGGTAAGGACCTAGGTGGTTGTTGTTGCTGTATGCATGCTTGCACGAGACTGGATGGACTCATCACGTGCATATGCGCTGCCTAGCGCGCCTCGGCCTCCGCTGGCGCTGAGTGGTGAGTCTTTACTTTAGTAGACTCTTTACTCAGCGCACTACATGCACTGGGCACTCACGGTTTCAGCCTGCTACTCAGTAGCCTACGCCTACTGTGCTAGTGCTACGTAAGTAGTTCGTAACCGTAGTTGTGTAGAGGGGACGGTTTCAAATAGGACATAGGTTGCAAACCGGAACGGACTCAATATTCACTTTCTCTCTTGGTATTTTGATTAGAAAACATTATGTCGCAGTGAGACTACGATGTGTTATACTCCGAGCCAAAATTTCATGGCTCTGCGATGACCAGAAGCGCCATATCAAGCAGGTGAGTTTTTGACGTGTTGCTTCGCACTGCGACTTGAGTTTTACGACTTTCGAAAAATCAACTTCTTGTCGCACGTAAACAGCGGCTCGCCTCTCGCCAATAAAGCACCGCATACCAATCAAAACTAATGGAAGCACACACAAGGCTTATTGTTACTCTGTACTGGCCGTCGTGGAGCGATAGCAATTACCTAATTTCAGACCCAGAGTGAATTTGACGTGCACTCTAAAACGTGTCCGGTTTGGAGCCACCTCTGATTTGAACTTTTTGAAGCGAAAAATTGGGCAACTGGGAGGCAATGGGTCAACACAAAGGAGTGGCTCAGTTCGATTGACTCTGGCCCCAGAGCAAACTTCAACATGCCAGTTTCCTTCCACAAACATATTTCGAGTGAAAAATCAACGCTGATGATCGGTTTGGGTCTATACAAATTTGGCTGTCAAAACGTCCCGGTATCGAGCCGTCCCCTCTACTGTCGACGCGCGCTTGTCTTGTTGCAGGGCCTTCCGCAAGTTCCGGAGCCGATGCATGACTCTCAAGAGTGTCTCTGATCTGAGCTGAGTGTGAAGTAGATCTACGTGTAGGACTAGTAGTAGTAGTAAGTAGTATGAGTTCCGAACGAAGACCGGTCGACCGTGCATGAGACTCAGGCGTGAGACTGACTCTGTACAAGAACGCACACATCACATGCACTCGGACTTGCATGACTGTAGTCTGTACTACTACTACTGAGTACTACCACTGAGTATTACTATTAGTATTAGTTCTGACTGTTGAGCGTCGTCTTTGACTTTGACACAAAATAGTTCCTTCGTGTGCCATTTACCTTCAGTGCTTGCAGTTCGCTCGTTAGACAAATCGTAGTCTGATAGTTTGTGGTAGAGTTCAGCTAGCTGCGGACGACACTCGACAGGTGCACTGCCAAGCGACCAGCGATCGATCGACCATGGGCAAGAACGAAATCTTCATCCACACGAACAAGGGAGAATATGTGGGTGGCGAGACGGTCTACGGGTGAGTCCCTTCAGATATCTGGGCCACGGGACGAGAAAATGGTGTGGCGAGTGGTAATGGGGGCGCGATGCATTTACTCCTTGACTCTCCACAATGACTATGACTTGTCCTCTAAAAGTCTAAGTAGGTTTCCCAGTCGACTATATCCCACCACGTGTCTGCGAATGTTTATAGACATGTGTGTCCGAACGACACTTTGCACTTTTGTTTGAGCTGCTCATCACAGACATAAGGCTTCATGCTTGACCGTAATTGTATAGGATATCGCACATTTTGTTCATCACTCGCATGGCTGCAGTGCTGTGCAGGTGCTGTGTCGTGTCGATCATCCACCACGGCGCTGTCCGGTACCGTGCTCTTGCCGTCTCAGCTCGTAGAATGGATTGTAGGAGCAGCATAGATCTACAGTCGACCTACCCTTATAACGATATTTGCGTCAGACCAAGAAATATTGTTATAAGGGTAATATTGTTATAGGGGTAACTGGTTCATTTCATACACATACGTCATAATGCATGGATTTTGTTCATTTTTTACACTCTTCATAGCATAAAAAACTGATATACATGCACATTATGTGCACAGCAAGGTGCCCACTGGTGCCCCATTGCATTTCGTCATGTCCCAGCGACTTATCAAGTGAAGCTTGCCCTACCTGGATAGAGGGGTCTACATCTTCCCTGCTAGATATTGTTATAAAATGGAAAATGTTGATTGGTCAGCCCATTTTATATCGTTATAGGGGTAATATCGTTATAGCAATATTGTTATAAGGGTAGGGCATTGTATACAAAAGTCAATGGAGTGATTTGGTTTGGCAGAAAAATATCGTTATAAGGGTAATATCGTTATAGAGGTTATCGTTATAAGGGTAGGTCGACTGTACTTGTATCCGATCGGCCGAGCGAGAGTTTCTGTATCGCTCTTTTTGTGTGCTCACGCCAAGCACCGGCGCGGTACTGATTGTCATTGCGTGGAGTCCACTAGTAATTCACGTGCATGTGCCCCCGAAATACTGCCGTGCTAGTGGGTGGTAACGTGTAAACTAACATTATTTTGACTAGCGGCGCTAGGCTTACGTTTCCCTTTCCGAATACTAGCGTTGCTGTTTATTATTTGTTTGAAGTTTTATTTTACATCGCAAACCGAACGGGCATTGATGCCCAATATTATGATGGCGATAGAATAAAAAGTGTGGCTCGATAAAGCTGCACTTGAGAAAATGAGAAAACAAAATGAAAAGGAAGTATTTGTACCGGTAATTACAAGTCAAGTTCGAACGGAGTAGCAATCAGAGAGAACTTATGCCACAGTACTTGGGCATACAGTCAACTTCGCTTATAACGACACTCGGCGGGGCATCAGAAAAGTGTCCTTATTCGCGAAGTGTCGTTATACCCGAAGTCTCATTATATGTGTCACAGTTGGATGGGACTTTGCTCTGGGCATGAAAATTATGTCGTTATTCGCGAATTATCGTTGTATCCGCAGTCGTTATACGCGAAGTTGACTGTATAGATCTTTGTCAGTGGACTGTTGGAATGTGTGGTGCTGCAAGTCCGCACAGAACGCTCTGAACATACATGCCCGTCCATGCCTTGTGTAACTCTTACTGACATGACACTTCCATCCAATATGTCCCCGCCCCCGCTGTACAGCATCTGATGGTTCTGTGGTATTCCGTAAAAAAACGAGAGACCTTGGAAGCTCAGGTCCCTACGCTATGCTTTGACGGCTACAATGCCCAACCATACCACAACAAACTGATCGGATACATCATTGTATTGCAAACAGTTTCCATCTGTTCAAATAACATGCATGATGAGCTACAATGTAGGCAAGAAAGCATAGCGTAGGCCCCCTGAGCGAAAGAAATAAACTTTCTCTTTGCATTCGAGGGTAATACGGCACCGTCTACCACCTTGATGACCTAAGCAAAAAAAAGCATGGGGATGTTATAAAATTTTCATTTCTCCTATTTTTTCAGACAAAACCTGGGATTCGAAGCTGCACTTTTGCTCTGCATGCATTCCCCCGATACATTTCCCATACATACTCATTCTTCCGAGTTGCTTCACGTCATGATCTTGCATTTGAAAGCCCTATTTGAATATTGTGGCCAGCTGTCTTTGATGGTACGGTACGGGACAAGTACGGGATAGTACCAGGCATGCCGACGGCACAAACAAACACGAAATTAAAGCTGTGTGGACCCTGGCTAGCGCCAGACGTTACTGAAGTAATGTCTTTTGCATAGCTACGGGAATAAATGACAACTAGTACACTGTACGTGGCAGCATCTCCAATCCAGTCTCCACTCTCCAGTGTAGTGGTGTCTTTACATGACTGTACTGGCAGTTGTAGCAAAAACGAGTAGTAAAGGGGGGTGTTGTTCTTGTGCTGGTCGCCATACAGTCAGACCTCGCTTATCCGGTCCTCTTTTATCCGCATCCCTCGCCACGCCATGCGGAAGAAAATCCCTCGCCATCCGGAAGAAAATAGCTGGTTACAGATTTACAGCATACGTTATGCATCCAACATAATTGGTGTTCGATTATCCGGTTCCCTCGCCTATCCGGATATTTTTTTTCCTTTTACCATTTACGCTAAATTCAGCGGTTCTCTTGCCCAGCACCCACAATGCCGTCGGTTTGGTATCATTTCGACGATAGACGGCTCTGTTTAGTGGGAGAACGAAACAGTACGATTTCAGCTAGGGTGACGTAGCAAGGCGATCGTTGTGTCAGAAACCGAAATGCTAACCATGTCTTGAAAACACACACACAAAACGGTACAGGCCGACGGTCGAAGTCAGGGTGAGCGGTAAAATGCTAACTGTGTCTATTGTACACATTCATCATTATTTTACAACCTTGCAAATAACGGCCCTCGATCGGGTACGGGAAAAGTGTTGGTGGAGTCAAGTGGCTAGTAGGCCTGGAGATAGTGTTGCTATTCGTGATCTGTGGTATAGGCGAGGTTGCTATTCACGAGGTTGACGACGGCACATGCTGTGCTGATCCCATGCTATGTACAGAAAAACCTGTCACAGCGACCACTCCAGTCAGGCGACCACCTGTCCTAGAAGACCACTACAACTAGAACCTAGGGATGCGAATTCAGTCAAATCACCCTGGAAAAGGAGACCACCTGTACAGGGAGGCCACATTTGTAAGGACCCTTGAGCGGTCGGCTTAGACAGGTTTCACGTACTTTGAAGAAGAAGACACACGCGCAGCAATACGATCGTGAAGTAGACAAACTTAGTAGAGATGATGCCGTAAGTTAGTCCTGGCGGAAAGGCTCTTCGCTAGTGCCACAGACTGTAGCCGGGCTGACTAAATCAAATGCCATGGCGTAATGCTGCTTGTGCTTGTAGCATAGTGCTGGCCAGTGGGATTCGCATTCATCTTGGGCATCCTGTAAGAAGACCTTAGGGTCTGTTGGGAATGCCCAAGTAAAAATTTTAATAATAAAATACTCAATCTGCGGACAGCATGCTGTTTCGTTCTTTGTGAACTCATCAGCGCAGCACAGAGAAAATGAGGCTGAAATAATAATAAAATACAATACAAAAAAATCGCTCCTGTGAAGAAATCCAAAATAGTCCTAAGCAATGTAAGCATACCAGCAGGGTGCTACTATAAATAATTATAATTATCCCTGGTGGTGGTGGTGGTGGTGGTGGTGGTAGTGGTTTTGTGTGTGTGTTGGGGGGGGGGGGGGGAGGGAATGAGATGGGAAGCAGCTGTGCATTCATAGTCCCGGTTGTGCATCTGCAGTTTGAGTGCCGTATGTGTTGAAGACCTTTATATTTGATGAGGGGCAGCAACCTAGTCATTGAGGCTGCTGACAGGATGAATGCACTGCTTTTTTCTGGGGCATACAGTCTGTAAGACCTTTCCTTTGAATGATCGCATTTGCATGCTCGGGATGAATTGCAATTAATTGTGAATGCTTTGAAAGGAGGTCATCAAACGTCTGTCAGCACAAAGGAAACGTTTCAATGGGTCCCTAATGCAATGCTCTGGGTCTGAAGAAGCTCTGATACACTGTTCACCAACCAACAGACACACTTGGAAATCGACCACTTTGCACTCACAGCATGCACTGAAACATGTATAAGCCGACCTCTCAAGAGATCTTCAAGATAACCATCGCCTCATCCATGGGCATGGTCTTTTGACTGAAGGAAAACACGTCCCTTGATTCAAGCTAGCATGGTCCTCTGAGGCAGATGGTCACCTTACCAGAGTGGTCCCCTTGCCAGAGTGGTCACCTTACCAGAGTGGTCCCCTTACCAGAGTGGTCCCCTTACCAGAGTGGTCGCCTTGCCAGGATTCAATGTATGTGTAGTACCAGATTTATGGCATTATCTCAATAGCACAATCACTAGTGTGTGTGTGTGTGTGTGTGTGTGTGTGTGTGTGTGTGTGTGTGTATGTGTGTGTGTGTGTGTGTGTGTGTGTGTGTGTGTGTGTGTGTGTGTATGTATGTGCGTGCGCGCGAGGTCAATCAGGAATATCTGATGTCTGCTGCGTCACAGACCCCATTGGACCAAGTGTGTTAAAAAGTCCATGCCCTGTTCTCTTCGGCCTTTCATTCAAATTTTGTTGTGATTGAAGCTCCCCTTGGATGACATGTGTGTGTGTTGGGGGGGTCATGTGTGGTGCTGTCCTCATCTCACTATACTAAACACTACATGTATTTCGGTAATGGAATTTGAGTATGCTGAGCAGAGAATGAGCAGGACATTGAGTTGTAGTTCATGTGTCTCAATAAACTACAACTGTAGTGTTCGCCAGCGGTTTCATGAAATTGTACTTCACTAGCAGCTACATGTTCTTCATCAGCAGCTGTTGTTCAACTTATTGTAGTGTGTATATAGACCATGCAGGGTGTGTGTGTGTGTGTGTGTGTGTGTGTGTGTGTGTGTGTGTGTGTGTGTGTGTGTGTGTGTGTGTGTGTGTGTGTGTGTGTGTGTGTGTGTGTGTGTGTGTGTATGCGTGCGCCCGCCCTGGAGGCACATATCCTGGCAAGCAGATGGTTGTCTCGTGCCATGCCTGCAGCTGCTTGTGCCAGCATCAGACACTGCTCCTGCAGGATGCAGTGCTGTGCATGTGGCATGGGTGTGCTGTCTGTGCACATGTTATGCCCTGCACAGGTGTGCTTGCTGCTGCTTCATGTGTTGGTTGTACATGTACTCTATGCTGTGTGTGCTATATGTGCAAACGGATCCTGTGTTTGTGTGTGCGTGCGTGTGTGTGTATGTGTGTGTGTGTGTGTATGTGTGTGTATGTGTGTGGTGTATTCTCATTGTCTGCCCCGCTTGTACTACAGCACCGTCTATCTGTCCATCGTTAGCCCAATCGCATCCAAGAGTCTCAAGCTCAAAGTGAAGGGATACGAAAAATGTAAGCCATCTTTCCATTATAGCGACGAACATGTTCTTCTGTCTGTGGTGTGTGCTCCTTTTCATTCAAGTACTACCAACATACAGACATATGTATGCATGGAATACGGTTAATTATTATCAACCACCACACCACACCCGGTGTGCTCTCCAGCCGACCTCAACACGTTGCCACAGCAACCCGTCAGTGAAACGACACTTCAGTTGGTACACTGCTCCTGCAGACAGTAGCTGTTTAGATTATCTGGATCTTGTCAGTGAAGGTTGATAATGTAGTTTGGCTAACAGATAGTGAACTTCACCCTTTTGTAGTAAAAATGGGGAAACATAATGGTGCATCTTAGGCACGAAGATTAGGGCTACGCAAAACTTGTTTCTATTCCGAGAATGTCCACAACGCATTGCCGTACTGGCAACCGTCTATTCCGTTGGGGCTGAACGTATTGGGTATATCATCATACATTCATAGCGCTCCCATGCTTCTATTGTGTGGAGTGCAAAGTGTCCGATGGTTTCATGATGGTGCATATGTCGGGGATGTGTGTGTGTGTGTGTGTGTGTGTTTGTGTGTGTGCATGTGCATGTGTGTGTGCATGTGTGTGTGTGTGTGTGTGTGTGTGTGTGCACTCTTCCTGACTTTCATTCTCCTGGGTGGTTACCAACAGCCAGTGTATGCCGGAGTATGTGGTGTGGTGTGTGTGTAGAAAAAGAAAAAAAAGAAAAAAAGAAAAATGGAAAAATGAAAAATAGGGATTCACTGGCCAGAAAAGTCACTTCAACAGCTGTGTGGTGGATACCAGGCTAAAAATAGTGGCGGTCAATTCATCAGCCTTGCAAGCTGTTGAATGGTGTAATCCCAGCACAAGTTGCTATGTCTAACATAGCTGTTCGCTATCATCGCTCCCGCGATGGGCATGTCTAAGGTCTAAGGTGTGTGCATGTGTGTGTGCGTGTGTGTGTGTGCATGTGTGTGTGTGTGTGTGTGTGTGTGTGTGTGTACGTGTCTACCATACTAACAGGTGAATGGGAGTACACATACTCGGAGCAGGACAGCGAAGGACAGCTGCGCTCACGTGTTGGCAAGCGCAAGTCCAAGCGGGAGTTCTTCAAGGTTACGCTACCTCTAATTGACTATCCAGGTCAGTACTCCCCCCCCCCCCCCCCCCCCCCCCAGTCAATACTCTCTCCTCTGGTCAATACTCTCTCCGCTGGTCAGTACTCTCTCCGCTGATCAGTACTCCCTTTCCTGGTCGATACTAGCTACCCTAGTCAGTACTCCCTCCCCTGGTCAGTACTCCCCCCCCCCTCTCCCCCCCGATCAGTACTCCCTACCCTGGTCGATACTACCTACCCTGGTCAATTCTCTCTCTACTGGTCAGTACTCCTCCCCTGCTCAGTACTCCCCTCCCCCCCCCCCCAGTAATGCCCCTCCCCTGTCAGTATTCTTGGTCGCACTCTCCCCCCCCCCCCCCCCAGTCAGTACTACCCCTCTTTTCTTACCAGACATTAATTAAGCCTGTGTGTAAGAATTTTATGATGGCAGCAATAACAAAAGTCTGCTGCAGTTAGGTTACCGTGTTTCCCACTATCAATTTATAGTGTCTCAAGTTATTGCATACAATTTCCATGACAATATCCTGCCTTATGCCTTGTGCCGTGTGTGGTGTGTTGTTGTGTGCTGTGTGTTGTGTGCTATGTGTCGTGTGCTGTGTTGTGTGGCGCTCTATGTTGTGTATGAAGGTGGTTTCCCACAAGGACAGTACTCGTATCCATTCCAGTACAGCCTTCCACAGAACCTGCCTGGTAAGACGCACACACAGCCTACAGTATCGTCATCATGTGTGCGTGTGTGCGTGTGTGTGTGTGTGTGTGTGTGTGGGGGGGGGTATATAATTCGAGTATTCTTCATCTCCTAAAAAATGGACACGAATGGCCTTAAAATCACATGATCCAATCCTAATCGAACCGATTGGCAGCCATTTTTCTCGAGTATACTAGTTGGTGGGTCATTTGGGCTCTCTCTACTCGTGTACAAATGTTCACCACACAGTCTTCACATCAATATCTGCCGATTGCTGCTCGGAAACTGCCGATTTCTGTTGTCAATGCATGGATGATGTGTGAACGAGTATTTATTCCGAGTACGATTATTTCTGAAAAAAAAACCGAGCGAGTACTTGAATATTCGGTATAATTGTTTCACCACTGAAAACAATGTTTATGGTTGTCATGTCTCAGACCTGTCACTGTTGCCGTTTACGTGTGTGTGTGTGTGTGTTTTTGCGTGTGTTTGTGCATGTATGCATGACTGGCTGTCATGTACACACGGGGTCTTTTCCGTACACGGGATCATGTCTCCTCTGTGCAGGTGTGTTTAAAAAGGAGGTGAAGAACCGTTCGTCTGGCAGTAACTGGGAAGCTACTATCAAGTACAAAGTCAAGGCAGAAGTGGACATTCCAAACACAAAGCATGATCTCAAGGTTAGCTCATTGTGTGTGTGTGTGTGCGTGCGTGCGTGCGTGCGTGTGTGTGCGTGTATGCTCTTGTGAGTGTGTGTTGTGCGTGTGTGTTCGGGGGGGGGGGGGGGGGGGGAGGAGTAGAGGCTGGTCCAGTCCGCAGCTCACAGATCAAGGCTGTGTAGATCTGCACTTACTGCACACATCGTTTGAGTATAAACACGGCAGAGTATGAAAATGCTCGTGTAATGCAGTGATTTGCTCAGCGTTTGCTGAGCACCAGTGTATTGGTCTGCTAGTCATGCATAGCATGCTGATCCATGTGCACGTGTATGCAGCACATCTTATCAAGGTCTCGCTGTACTCTCTATGTACACAAAGTCATGTGTAATGCTGCTGCTGCTGCTGCTGTTGCTGCTGCCGCTGTTGCTGCTGCCGCTGTTGCTGCTGCTGTTGCTGCTGCCGCTGTTGCTGCTGCTGCTGCTGTTGCTGCTGTTGCTATTGCTGCTGCTGCTGTTGCTGCTGCCGCTGCTGCTGTTGCTATTGCTGCTGCTGCTGCTGCTGCTGTTGCTGCTGCTTTTGCTGCTACTGTTGCTTCTGCTGTTGTTGCTTCTGCTGCTGCTGCTGTTGCTGCTGCTGCTTCTTCTGGTGCTGCTGCTCATGTTGCTGCTGCTGCTGTTGTGGCTGCTGCTGCTCATGTTGCTGCTGCTGCTGCTGCTCATGTTGCTGCTGCTGCTGCTGTTGCTGCCGCTGCTGTTTCTGCTGCTGCTTCCGCTGTTGCTGCTGGTGTTGCTATTGCTGCTCCTGTTGCTTCTGCTGCTGTTTCTGCTGCTGCTGCTGCTGCTGTTGCTGTTGCTGTTGCTGCTGATGCTCCTCCTGTTGCTGCTGCTGCTGCTGTTGTTGCTGCTGCTGCTGCTCCTGTTGCTGCTGCTGCTGTTTCCGCTGCTGCTTCTGCTGCTGTTGCTTCTGCTGCTGTTGTTGCTGCTGTTGCTGCTGTTGCTGCTGTTGTTGCTGCTGCTGATGCTGCTGCTGTTGCTGCTGCCGCTGCTGCTGGTGGTGCTGCTGTTGCTGCTGCTGCTGTTTCCGCTGCTGCTTCTGCTGCTGTTGTTGCTGCTGCTGCTCATGTTGCTGCTGCTGCTGTTGCTGCTGCTGCTGCTGTTTCTGCTGCTGCTCCCGCTGCTGCTGCTGGTGTTGCTATTGCTGCTCCTGTTGCTTCTGCTGCTGTTTCTGCTGCTGCTGCTGCTGCTGTTTCTGCTGCTGCTCCCGCTGCTGCTGCTGGTGTTGCTATTGCTGCTCCTGTTGCTTCTGCTGCTGTTTCTGCTGCAGCTGCTGCTGCTGCTGTTGCTGTTGCTGTTGCTGCTGATGCTCCTGCTGTTGCTGCTGCTGCTGTTGTTGCTGCTGCTGCTCATGTTGCTGCTGCTGCTCCTGTTGCTGCTGCTGCTGTTTCCGCTGCTGCTTCTGCTGCTGCTGTTGCTTCTGCTGCTGTTGTTGCTGCTGTTGCTGCTGTTGTTGTTGCTGCTGCTGCTGCTGGTGGTGCTGCTGTTGCTGCTGCTGTTTCCGCTGCTGCTGCTTCTGCTGCTGCTGTTGCTTCTTCTGCTGTTGTTGCTGCTGCCGCTGCTGTTGCTGCTGCTGTTGCTGTTGATGCTGCTGCTGCTGGTGGTGGTGCTGGTGCTGCTGCTGCTGTTGTTGCTGCTGCTCATGTTGCTGCTGCTGCTGCTGTTGTTGCTGCTGCTCATGTTGCTGCTGCTGCTGCTGCTGTTGCGGCTGCTGCTCATGTTGCTGCTGCTGCTGCTGTTTCTGCTGCTGCTGCCGCTGTTGCTGCTGCCGCTGTTGCCGCTGTTGCCGCTGTTGCTGCTGCTGCTGTTGTTGCTGCTGCTGTTGTTGCTGCTGCTGCTGCTCATGTTGCTGCTGCTGTTGCTGCTGCTGTTGCTTCTGCTGCTGCTGTTGCTGCTGCTGGTGGTGCTGGTGCTGCTCCTATTATTGTTGCTGCTGGTGGTGGTGTTACTGCTGCTCCTGTCGCTGATCCTGTTGCTTTTCTTGTTGCTGCTGCTGCTGCTGCTGCTGTTGCTGCTGCTGCTGCTGCTGCTGCTGTTGCTGCTGCTGCTGTAGGTCAACCAACCACTGACTATCTATGGCGATCTCAACACTGGTGTGGAGCCAGAACGCTATGAGAAGCTTGGCACAGTGCGCACCTGTCTGTGCATACCTCGCGGTGACGTACATGTGGTTGCTCAGTAAGTGCATGTTCTAGGTCCATTCTCGTTTGGCAACTTGTGACAGTATTTCACAGTGCTGTAGAATGGCTAATTTTAGCGGGTAAAAATTTGGCGTTTTCCTAATCTGGACCAATCGTGAATCGCGATGAAATAATTATGTCAGCGAGTTTCAGAGTTTAAAATAAAGATGACTAGTACATGTAAAGTTTCCATTGGCGTGGCAACACTTTAGCGAAAACCCTCCTTTTGCCAAAGTAACTAAAATATCACCGGCGCTAAAATCTGCCATGTGTACAGTGCCCATGTGTCCCTGCCCGGGTGTCGTTGAGGGTGGTGCGCGTGTGGTTGCCATGGGCTCCCTGTGTGCAGTGCAGCGCCCTGTGCTGCCTGTTTTTATGCATGCACATCTACAGTAAAATCTGTCACATGACCGCTCGGATAAGGCGATCACCTGTCCCAGAAGACCACTGCTACCAGGATCAAGGGATGCTATTCAGTTCCAGTCATATGACCCCGGATAAGGAGACCGCCTGACCATATCTGGGTTCCAGTTTTGAAATGGTCTTATTTTGAATGTGAACTTTGGCCTGTTGGTGCCCCTAGACCCTTTGATCACACTGAGCTGTGGCGCTTATCAGGTTTTATATCTCAGCTCTTCATTTGATGTTCTAATTCTGTGTTCTGCCTGGCTTGATGTTGTCATTTGTATAGCATGGACAAGAACACGTACACCGCTGGGGAAACAGCCCAGATCCACGTTGAAGTGAGGAATGATTCGGCTGTGGATATCGACAACTTTGCCGTCAAGGTAGGCAGCAATATAGGCAGGGTGGAATGTGCCAGTGTTGCCACTCTCCAACTTCAGTACATTCAGACCTCGCTTATTCGGTCCTCTTTTATCCGGATCCCTCGCCATCCGGAAGAAAATCGTTGATTAGCAACGATTACCAATTTCCAGCGTATGTCATGCATGCATACAGTATGTGTGTTCGATTATCCGGTTCCCTCGCCTACCTGAATATTTTTTTGTGGAAAACAGATGTGTGCGGCTAAGCGAGGTCTGACAGTACTGTCGGTCGCCGATGAACTGGGCAGTCAGCCTCCAAGCCTAGACCGTTCATATTTTCATGTATTGCAGTCTATGCGCAGTTGAGTCACCGTGAACAGATTGGTATGCTGTGCTTGATGAAATTCTAGCCTGGTCGTTCTTCTGCGCTCCATTCATTGGCGCCTGTCAGTACTCGACTGTAAACCGTGCAATATTCGTGTCATTAAAGTTCCGCGATCTGTCGGAAGCAGCGAGTGTTTACAATGGCAAATGTTAATGTTTGCAGGTCACTGTGGCCACACACATACACCCACTGTTGAAGTTTGATTTCACGATGGTTGATGTTGGCGCTGTGCTCTTCCCCCAAAATTAGAGAAAATTAATATGAACATTAAGGCGTTTCCAGTGTCCTTGACCGGTACCGATTATATATATAGGTCTTGCAACATTGGAATGTGGGTTCTTTGGAGATGATTTTCACCAAATTGCTGATGGAGGAATTCCTGCAGCGCTGTGCTGTACAGTGGTAAAGGATCGATCATTACGACATTAGAACTCTGTCATCACTGGAAATGATGATTCTTGATCGGGCGCGATACAAATGTTGTTCTTGACGGGGGGATGTGGTTTATCAAGGTACTAGCAAGGGTTTATCAAGGGTTTATCAAGGGACTAGCACGCAGTCCAATGGTCACTCGGTCTGATTATGGTGTTACTACTATTCGTGAGATATTGCTATACCGGGGGTTGTTATCAATAAGGCTGACTGTACAGGGGTGGTACGTAGGCAGTTGGAGGCGGTGTATCTCTTTGCCTGCTTTACAGTGTATGTCATATGTATGTTTACAGTGTATGTCATATGTATGCGTATACTGGCAGTTTGACTGCATGCTTTCAGCCTCACGGATAACGGCATGAGCTTGTATGTGTGTCCGTGTGTGTGTGTGTATGTGTGTATGTGTGTGTGTGTGTGTGTGTGTGTGTGTGTGTGTGTGTGCCTATGTTTGTGCATGTGCATATCTATGTATGTGTCTTTGTGCACGCACACACGTGCCTTCTTGTTGATCAGCTTATGCGTGTGGTGAAGCTGAAGGGACGTGACGATGACCGTGACCACTCCGACACCACCACTTGTCTTGTGGACACTGTCTGTGTGGAGAAGTATGCAGGCTGTGCCAGTGGAGACAGCAAGTCTAGGTAAGAGAAAATACCTCAAGTGACTTCCTTCCCCTCCTTGTGCAATCACTCGAAGAAATTTATTGAAAAATCCTTGATTGTCCGGAAAAATGAAGGGAAGAATCCAAAGATAGCGCATGCCATGCAAACTGCAGGCAATTATTCATTGCAATCACTACTAGCAATTGTAGCTATCAATATTCAGTTAAAATAAAAATAAATAAAAAAGACGGGTCACGTTATGACGCCAACTAGCGATACCGCATTTGATTGCACAGAACAGCGTGTGAAGTGCTCAGGCTGTGTATCGACCGGCTCTACTTTATTCATGAGGTTGGATTTTCTCTTTCTCTCCAGTGTGATTGCACTCGTAGAGAAAGTGTCACTGGCCATCTAGACACTACATAGAAGTACTTGCTACCAGCACAGCACAGCAGTGAAGCATTGTGTACTTGGTAAAAAATAAAAAAATAAAAAATTGTTTTGATGACGAAGTTGCAGAATTTTCTTATTCCCGCTGGGTCATGGCGGTGACCGGTTGGTTGAGTGAAATCTGCTGTGACTGAACCTGAGCAGCTACCCTGAACGCGGAGGTCTTTGAGACGTGTGCGCCAATTGAGGTCGTGCAGCAGGACATGATGTGTAGCTTCATTGTGAACACTGGGTGTAAGAAGGTGGCAAACGCCTGTCACTGATATGCCAGTCGAGTAGAGCATGGCCGAAGTGCGTGATTGTGGGCAACCGTAGCCAGTGTGATGTTGTTTTCTAACATGTGTTTGTGCATGTGCGCTTGTTGGTGTGTGCGTGTCTGTGTGTGTCTGTGTGTGTCTGTGTCTGATTGTGTGTCTGTGTGTTTGATTGTGTGTATGTGTGTGTGTGTGTGTGTGTGTGTGTGTGTGTGTGTGTGTGTGTGTGTGTGTGTGTGTGTGTGTGTGTGTGTGTGTGTGTGTGTGTGTGTGTGTGTGTGTGTGTGTGTGTGTGTGTGTGTGTGTGTGTGTGTGTGTGTGTGTGTGTGTGTGTGTGTGTGTGTGTGTGTGTGTGTGTGTGTGTGTGTGTGTGTGTGTGTGTGTGTGTGTGTGTGTGTGTGTGTGTGTGTGTGTGTGTGTGTGTGTGTGTGTGTGTGTGTGTGTGTGTGTGTGTGTGTGTGTGTGTGTGTGTGTGTGTGTGTGTGTGTGTGTGTGTGTGTGTGTGTGTGTGTGTGTGTGTGTGTGTGTGTGTGTGTGTGTGTGTGCTTGTATGTGTGTACATGCACATAATGTATGCGTGCGCCTGTTTATGTGCTGAATGTGTATGTTGTTGGTTTTCCCTCATCACTGCTACTGCTGCTGCAAACCAGTGATATCCCCTTGCCGCTAAAGACCAAGGTGGAGGACCTACAGCCAGCTACCAATGGGCAGATTGTCAAGGTATGAATTTAGTTGTGTGGAAAGCTGAGAAAAATTGTGAACGATTCCATTTGGGAAAATGTGGGCACAAGTTATGCGATCGATTCCACCGACTAAACCAGATTTTGAACAATCAGAATGTGCACAATTTAGCACGAAACTGAGAAGGCGCTATCGAGTAGTGCTCAAGCTGACTTTCATGCCGTGGAATGTCTCAATACTCCTTGTCAGAGTTATGCCGCAGATTGTGCACGTCTGACTGTTCAAAATCTGGATTAATCGGTGGACTCGATCGCGTAACTTGTGAACCTATTTTCCATGTCAATATTTTTTCCCTTGGCTCACCATCTGAGTTCTTGATACCATTCGGCTGTTCCATGAGGCACCAATCTCTCCTATCGGCTAAAAGCACATGGAGAAGAGCAGGAGAGATTGACGGAGAGCTGAGAAGCCGATTACTAGCGTGTTAGTTTGCAAGAATGGGGGTACCGTGAAACCTGTGTAAAGTGACTGCTCAAGTGTTATGTCCCCTTGCGGACTAACATACCATTACATTCATGCATTCTCACTCAGCGGCACTCACAAACACTAGCATTTGGAAGACATTACTCTTGGTCAGGTAAAGCAACAACAACAACAATATGCGAGCATGCGCAATACAGTAGCAAACAGTGTAGTAGATATATTATGACTACCTTGCATACACAACATCAAGTGACCTTACAAATGTGGCCTGCGTGTACAGATAGTCACCTCATCCATGGTCCTATGACTGGATATAGGATCCCTTAGTCCTGGTTGTAGTGGTCTTCTGGGACAGGGCGCTTGTCTAAATACAGTGGTATATACCCGGATCACGCAATTTTATTTCGCTAAATTTTATTTCCTTCTCCCGAGTGGGTCAATTGTTATTTTAAGGTTTCGTATCTGGCTTGCATGTGTGGAGTTTCGGAGAGAGAATAGCAGTACAATGCACGGCATGGCTTAATTTTTCTAATACTGTGAAATTCTCCGTGAAGTCCAAGGTTGAAATTGCAGCCTGTTATAATCACCGCTATAAATAGAATCAAATCCAAACAACACGAGCAAGTCTAGACTGGTTGACACTGATTTATATTATCTGTCTGCTTGCTTGTCTGTCTGTCCGTCTGTCCGCCTGTCTGTCTGTATGTATGTATGCCTGTCTGTCGGTCTGTCTGTCCGTCTGTTTGTCTGTCTATATTGTGGTCTGCCTGTGTACGGTCTGCCTACATGATGGGTGTGGTGTTTCAGTGCAACTATCACATTGATATCGAGATGCAGGTACCGTGGGCTCCAGATATCGAGATCCATGCTCCCATCCAGCTGTGTGCACCACACAACCTGATGGTAGGTGATTGGAACTGTTCTGCGGGTCTTTGTACGTGTGTGTGTGTGTGTGTGTGTGTGTGTGTGTGTGTGTGTGTGTGTGTGTGTGTGTGTGTGTGTGTGTGTGTGCGTGTGTGTGTGTGCACGCGTGTGTGTGTGTGCTGTATGTCTGTGTGGGTACTTCAAGAGAAGTATGTGTGTTCTGTAAGCGGTGGCACTTGACTGTCTGCCATATGCTATTCTAACAACTTGAGTAGAATATGCTCTACTTTCTACCTGGCATGTATTCCATCTCCTTGGCTGCTGTGTAGCACATGACTCTGCAGTGCTGAATGTGGAGGATACTATAATTGGCACAAACCCAAACCTTTTCCGGCACTGGGTCTGCCTCACGAGTCCATCTTTGCCTTTCCTGCCAGGTACTCTCCTGTTTTCACACACTCTTTATTGCAATCATGCATTAGTTGTGGGTCACAAGCTTCATCTCTCACACTCTCTCTCTCTCTCTTTCTCTCTCTCCTCTGTGTGTTTGTGTGTGTGTGTGTGTGTGTGTGTGTGTGTGTGTGTGTGTGTGTGTGTGTGTGTGTGTGTGTGTGTGTGTGTGTGTGTGTGTGTGTTTGTCTTTCAGTGGCAACAATGGCAGCCACCAGTCTGGGCTGGGCAGTGTGCACCAGTCAATGTAGTGGGTCAACTAGCCGTGCCAGCACAGGTTCTCAGTAAGTTGAGCCACTTCTCCATAAATTCCACACTCTCGAACAACACATTCATGCATGCAGCCCCCCCCCCCCCCCCTCCCCCACGCACACAAACACACATATACGTCCCTCACCTTGGGCTTGCTCGCAGAGCGGTGGAGCCGGCGAGGCGGCACCTCAGAAGCAAAGAATCACCGTGGGCATTATGGAGACCGAGCAATATCCGTGCAGCTGCTCTGTGCGGACATGAACCCACGGAAAGGGCACGCTCAATCCG